GGGAGGGAGGGGCCTGACGACATGTACCCAGAACCGCCCACGACACTGTTTTGCATCATCCGGGCATTGGGATCTCAACCCAGAATTCAAAGGGGCGGCGGAGACTGCGGGAACTGTAGGATAGCTGTGGGATAGCTACCCATAGTGCAATGCTCTGGAAGTCGACGCTAGCCTTGTACTGTGGACGCGGTCCGCCGACTAGAGCACCTAGAGCATTTTATTGTGTGGACACACACAATCGGCTGTATACAACCGATTTCAATAAAACCGGCTTCTATAAATTCGAACTAATTTCGTAGTGTAGACGTACCCTAAGTGGATCTCAAGCTGCATTTGCTTATGTTATCAAACAAATAAGAGAGCCACCAAAGGAGATCAGATCCCATTCTACTCGCTCCATGGCAGCATCCATAGCTTTCCTGAACAACGTACCAATAGCAGATATCTGCAAAGCTGCTACTTGGGCCACAGAACATACATTCTTTAAACACTACGCAGTTACACAACACTCACAAGCTAATGCTGTACTAGGCCTAACGGCCCTTTCCTCCACTATGCATATAACTCCAAAGTCCCCCCAACCGTAGGGGCAACTGTTCTACAAACACCCGAAGTGGAACACCCACAGGGACAGCACTCGAAGAAGAAGAAAGGGTTACTCACCTTGTGCAGTAACTGAAGTTCTTTGAGGTGTGTCCCCCTGTGGTGCTCCACAACACACCCTACTCCCCTCTATTTTGGAGTTCAATACAAGGACTCTGTGGTAGAGAAGGAACTGAAGGGGTCGGGCTGTGCGCGTGCTGGATGAGATTCCAATGGCCGCAAGACAACTTCTGTGCATGCACGTCCCAACCAAGCATTGCTACCAAAAATCTCTGATCAACAGTGCCGGGATGCACTGACACCTGAAGTGCAACACTCACAGGGATACACATCTTGAAGAACCTCAGTTACTGCACAAGGTGAATAACCCTCTCTCTTTATGATTTAAGTAGTTCATGAATTTGGCTTAGTAATTTTAAACATGAAAGGACTTAATTACAAAATAATATTGTTCACTTAGCCTCATATATTCATAGCAGTCATTGCAATTAACTGTATATTATAGAAATATTATGTTCAACTACAGAATATAGTTACTTGTTTTTTATCAACTGGCCAAGGTTGTGAGGCCTTACTCAGCTTGATGACATTTTTCTGATTTGGGTGTAATTTGATAACTCCTGAACATTTTATCTGATCAATTCTAAATTTTCAGGGCATATTCTAGGCATCCATGGGCAGAACCCTCTTAATTTTGGTGACAATCAGAAAACTAGAAGCAGAAAATGGGGAATACAATGCTCCTGGCATCCGATTAGCGCCATCTGATTAGTTAGCACCTTCTACTATCTCTCTAATTGTCTATAGATAAAAGAACTGGTTGATGGCAGCCATTAAAATATTCCCCTTATTTTAGTTCTGCCCATTCTCCTAATACAGTAACTCCCATTTAACGTCCTCTCGCTTAACGTTGTTTTGATCTTACATCCCTGCTCAATTACAGAACATGCTCCATTTAAAGTTGTACAATGCTTTGCTATAACGTAGTTTGGCTGCCTGCTTTGTTCACAGCTGGCAGCCCCCCTATCAGCTCCCCTACGCCCCTCCCCCAGCACCTCCTGCCTCCCAGCAGACCCCGCGAATCAGCACCTTCCCCCTCCTCCCCCTGCCTCCTGCCCGCGGCAATCAGCTGATCAGCTGGCTTGCGGTGTTCAGGAGGGAGCGAGGACGCGGCGCACTTCCCCCCTCCCTCCCCTGCCTCCTGCCCGCGGCAATCAGCTGGCTTGCGGTGTTCAGGCGGCAGGGGAGGGAGTGGGAGCCTGTGCGCCATGTTCTCGCTTCTCCCCCCTCCCTCCTGCCTCCTGAATGCTGCAAGCCAGCTGATTGCTGTGGGCAGGGGAGGGAGGGGGGAGGAGCAAGGATGAGGCATGCGGAGTAAAGGGGGGGAAGGAGGAGGAAGGGGAAGAAGAGGTGGGTTAAGGGTGGGGGCTTGGGGAAAGGGGTGGCATGGGCAGGTTGAGGGATGAGCACCCCACCCCTGGTGCTTGCAGAGTAGGGGAAGCTGCCGCTGCTATTGCACAATGTGCTTCTCTTAGCCTACAGCACCTTCAGCCTCTTTGCCTGCCTCATTGTCTCCAGTGCCAGTGGGCTGTGCCTGTGTGGGGTAAGGTGGGAACATCTCCCAACTATTGTACTGTACTGTATGGCAAAAAAAAATTTCCCTGGAACCTAATCCCCCCATTTACTTTCATTCTTATGGGGAAATTGTATTCGCTTAACATTGTTTCACTTAAAGCCACATTTTTCAGGAACATAACTACAACGTTAAGTGAGGAGTTACTGTACAATTTTAAAATGTTGACACACTGTAAGAAAGAAAAGGGGAATAAGAATGTTGGGGGGAGGAAAGAAAAATGGGGAGGCAGGGGAGAAAGGATGGAGTGGTGATACATGCAAAATCCCGGGCATGGGGGAGGGGTAAAATGGGGGAACCTGGAATAGGGGGTGCACAAAGAGCTGCTGGGGTGGGAGAAATGTGGGCACATAGAATCCCTGGAGGGAGGAGAATGTGGGGGAATGAGTAATAGGGGGACTGAGGATGCATACGGTGCTCGTAGTGAGAGATGTTGGGCATTCATCTCTGGTAGGGAAGAGAATCGGGAACACGCAGAGACCACGGCAAGAAGGAGGGGGATGGGGAGGTTCAGCGAGTCCCTAAAATAGAAGGGGATGGGAGGGTGGCATACAGGGGGTTTGTGGGGGAGGAGGTAGGGATACAAGAGTTCCTGGTGAATGCAATGAGCTTGTTCTACGGAAGCAACAAAGTGTGCAACTCCCTAATATAAAAATAGCAAGCAAGTTTTCCAGCATTCATTTTCAGCAGCAAAAAGGTAACTATTTTCCTTGATTCAAGTAAACTTAATGAGTCTGCTGAGAAACTTTATTTTAAATTAATATGTGCCTAAATAGGGAACTATGTTCACTTATTTTGTTTTTATAATATTTTTCTCCATAAAAGTTGTTTAAAACTCAGAATTCTGTTAAAGTGATCTTTTTACCAGTATTGGCATTAATAGATACAGAAATTATAAAAAGACGACTACAGGAATGTCTTTGAAATTTTTGTAAAAGCAAAATTAATACAACTTTATAATGAGCCTCTCTTTGCTAATAGTTGCATATTGACAGTGGTCTATTTGTACAGCAGTAATTTGAGTCTAGAGACTGGCATTTCTGTGTTTGTGACGACAGTACATCACTACATCATAGTTATAGGTGTATGGCATCTCTTTAATAAATATTTCAATGGCAGCTAGGCATAGAAAAAGACATTCTTTATTCTTTTGCCATTTATTTAAGTTCTCATCTAATACAAAGTATCTAATCTTTAGAAAAAACATGTTGTGTCATACCAGCAGTCATTCACTGGTACATATATCAATTTAATAATCCCTTCTGTGTAATTTTTTTCCTTCACAGTTCTGTCAGAATGAATGAATAGGTACATTTGAATAGCTTCATTATATTTACTGCTTTCTAATTCTTTCCTAGATTCTTTACACAGATAGGAATTTTGTGATTTGTGCTCCGACTGGTTCTGGAAAAACTGTAATGTTCGAACTAGCTATTACAAGGTTACTAATGGAAGTGCCGATGCCTTGGTTAAATATTAAAATTGTCTATAGTGAGTATTATGCTAATTTTAAACAATTATTAGCTAGTAGCAATGATAACAAAATGTAAAAGTTGAAATAATTTTCTATGTACACTTAATGGTTACCTTTAATAAGCTTGAACTTAAATACGTGATGACAACTAAGTGAGGCCTACTTCACAAAACGTATGTATTGTATCGGGGTTGTTGTTATAATCATGTATTTGTATTACTGTGACAACTATTATTATTATTATTATTATTAATCTTTGTATTGCATAAGTGAGATTGGGAACCATTTAATAGGCTCTGCCTGTACACATAGTAAAAGACTGTCCCTGCCCTGAAGAGCTGATAGCTTGAACAGAGAAAGGCTGTGAAGAAACAGAGGCACTGGGAATGCTTTGCTCAGTGCTGCAACCAGGAATAGAATCCAGGTCGTCTGAATCCTAGTCCATTGGTCTGTCCACTGGACCACGACACGGCCTTTCCATTAACCATTTCTTCTTATCTAATCTTCAGGACAAAGCAGGCAAGGTTAAGAGTTATCTGCATTGATTTAATTATAACAAAAATAAAATATAATTAGTATATTTAAAGGTAATGACATCTCTTGATCTATCATTCTGTTTTTATTTTTGGAGAAAGGAATTTTGTATCTTCATGTAGATCAAATGAGACTGGTGACTTTTCCCCCTACCCTTGATTTGTCCACATTGTAAAGCCACATGCAGTTTGGCACAATTCAACATATTTGGTAGTCTTATGTTAAATGGTCAACTTTGCATTTACAAAGGTTTCTAGCTTAGTTGGTTGAGGTAATATCTTTTATTGGACCAATTTCTGTTAGTGAGAGAGACAAGCTTTCGAACTTACACAGAGCTCTTCTTCAGATTTAAGAGCTCTGTGTAAGCTTGAAAGCTGCCTCTGTCACCAACAGAAGATGGTCCAATAAAAGATATTATCTCACCCACCTTCTCTCTCTAATATCTTGGGACCAATAAAGCTACAACAACATTGCAAACCACAAATTTAGTACTTTTTTAGACACGTGTATTACAGTTCCTTGCTGACAGCAGATGGAGACAGATCACTTGAAGTTTAGAGTTATGATCTTGTTCTTTATCAAAGGACCTTTTCTTGTCCCAATCAGTGCAAAGTGGATTTAAACTGTGGAGAAGGGAGTTCTCTGCTGGTGGAGATAGTTCTACCGCCTTCTGCGCCGAGGCATAAAGAGAGAGAGTGGACATGTCAGGGGCATAAGATCTGTGAGGGAGTTGTTCCCCTCTGCTTTAACTGAGGATGCCTCTGGGTCTGGGTGGCTGAGGACTAGGGGGCCACTGGTGGCTCCTTATCTCCCCCCCACCCACCCTTTTCCCACCTTCTAGACCTGGGAAGGATGGAGAAACTGCCCCTCAAAATTGTTACTGATAACCCATGATTTTCCTGGATTTATTTGCTTGTGGCTTAACCAGAATTTAGTGGTAGTGATTTCCTAGCAATGCAGATGACTGACATGCTGACCACTGAATCAGGAAATTGATTTATTTGAACAGCTTTACTCCTGGTACTTGCTTCCCCCCTTCAGTCTCCCCCGCCTTGCCAGTTGATGTATACTGTTGTAGTTGCTTTTTTTCCAACTGGACTCTGACTACCTAGTCTAGAATGCAGTTGCAACAGGACAAACTTTATATTCCTGCTTCAATATCATTGATGGATCACTTCTTTCACTCGTTAAAGGTCCTGAGGCATGGCATTTTCTATATGAGCTACCCATCTCTAAAGGCTTGTATCTGTTGCTACTTGTATGTCAGTGTGGGGAATCAGGGACATTTCTTTTTTGATATTTTAGAAATGAGCCACCACCTAGGGAAGGTATGATTTGTGTTGACATCCTCAGGAAAAATGTCAGTGTTGCAGAAGACTCATTGTATGAATCTGTGCCTGATGATGACTTCAAGACTTGCTTCCCTACACCCCCATGATTACAAATAGTTCTGTACTGAGTCTAGATGGGATCCAACAGGAAACTGACTCTAACTCTGCAGTTGTGGATCATGTTTTCTATTATGAAGACTCTTCCTTTGTGTGTATTAAAGAGTGCCCCAGAAAAATCAAGCTCTAATTTGGAGTGAGGTTGTCCTTTGTATATTAATCTATTATGTGGCTGCTAGGAGTGCTTTTCCTGTGTTTTCTTGTGTTTGTGTGAGAGTCTGGCTCTGTCAGTTGGGTGTTTGTTCTTCTGTGGGAGTCAGAAAATATCCGAGGACTATGAGAGGGCACTAGGCATTTTGGTATAAAGAGACGTGTTCCAGAGGGATGTTCAAGTCTTTTGTCTCTCTTTGTGGGCAGGAAAGAACTATAGCCCAGAGATCAGAACTGCTGTAGACAGAAGAGAGTATTTGCCATCATTAACTCAATGGGTAAATTTTAATATACATGTTAATTAAGTTCTTCTGGTTTTAGCTTTGCTCAAGAATTCCCCCCCCAAACTCACGCATTTAGCAGCTTAAGCAATACATTTGACGTTTTGTTTTAAAATCCTTTACTTTTCTCAGCGTAATCCCTCCATTTTGTATTATTTTTAGTGGCTCCAATAAAAGCTCTGTGCAGTCAGCGTTTTGATGATTGGAAAGATAAATTTGGACCTATAGGGCTCAGCTGTAAAGAACTGACAGGAGATACAGTGATGGATGATTTATTTGAAATACAGCATGCTCACATTATTATGACCACACCAGTAGGTTTCATATATAACTTGCTATTTGTTTTATTGATCTTTTTCTAAACCAAAAATCTGAAGAAAAATGTATTATAGAAATAATTTGCTGCATGTAGTCTAGCTAATGTATGTATGCTTCCGGGGCTTCCCCTTGTTTTATAGAGATTGGAAACTTTCAGTATAATTGTAAGGTCATTTTACTTGCCTGTATACTGCCATGCATACTTTTAGTGCGATATTTGTCCTGGGGGAATTCTGTGCCACTGCGCACATGCAAAATTTATGACCCCCACAGATTTCTTTGTTTCCCCGCAGAAAAATGACTTTCTGATAGGGAAGCAAAGGGAAGCCACAAAAGCGGTCATGCAACTCTCCCCAGCAGTATGTTTCGGGTGCCCAGGGCAGCCGGCAGAGAGATAAATCACTATGAGGCAGGACAGGGGAAGACCTGGATGGTGGCTCCTACCCTGTGCCAGGCTCAGTTGCTAGTCCGGGCTGGGCTGGGGAAGATAGGACTTCCTCTTCCCTTGCATAGCATCCGGGGCCGGGTCAGACTCACCCCCAGATTTATCCCCTGGCTGCAGGAAGCTCTGCAAACTCCCCCTCCTACTTTGTGCAACCATCGCTCCTCAGCTGCAGGGGGAGGAGTCCCTGTACAGGTAGCTGCTCACCCATCCGCCCAACCCCCATGCAGCCAGAACCCCTCAGACCCAGACCCTCCCACTGAGCCTCACCCACTGCACTCAGAACCCTCCTCCCCCGATTAGCCTCACTCCCCCTGCACCTGGACCACCACGACGAGCCACCTGCACCCACCCCACTGAGCCCCAACCAGTTGCACCTGGATCCCCACTCCACTGAGTCCCACTCCCCCATCATCTGCCCCCCCCACTGAGACCCATCCAGACCCCAACCATCTTCACCTCGACCCCCTGCAGAGTCCAATTACCATTGCACCCCAAAAAACCAACAAGCCCCGATGAATCCAGATCCCCTCCACACCCAGATTCCCCACTGAGTTTCCCGCACCCAGAACCCTCTCAACCCACACCTGGATCCCCCCCACACTAAGCCTCTCCACACTTGAATCCTGCCTTGCTGAGCCTGCCTGCCCACAACTGGTGCACCTGGCATGGAGGGGCAGGGCCCTGGGGTGTTTCTGGGGCAGGCCTGGTCCTTGCATTGTGTCAAGGTTGCGTGCAGCCTCACTGCTGAGTCCGTGTCTGGGTGGGGGGGTGCTGCACAGTGATTTCCAACCTCTGTGCAGCCAGTGGCCTGTGCTCCCCAATGACATGCTAGAGTCTCCACATTTATTTGACAAATAAAATTTGCCGAATTTTAAAATATTATGCATAGAATTTTAATGTTTTGATGCAGAATGCCCTCAGGAGTACAATATAAACAATAATTAGTAATAAAATAATAATGTGTCAAATGCAAAATATATAGCATTAGCTCATCAGAACTTTACTTTTTTTTTATCATCATAAAAATTTGGTCGTGTTTAAGGTCTGTCTCTGCTACTACTTCTGGAATCTGTTTTTCATTGTTTCTTCTGCCTCTTCTTCCCCCCACTCCTCCCCACCCCAGGAAAAATGGGATAGCATGACTAGAAAATGGAGAGACAACTCTTTAGTCCAACTGGTACGACTGTTCCTCATTGACGAGGTAGTGATTTTTATAGTCTGTTTGTACATGAAGAAAAAGAAAACTTTTAGGAAATATAACAATGTTATATATTTATTTTAACATATTTGTGGGTTAGAATGCAAAAAGTAAGCAATGTTATTTCACAGATTTCTTTAATTATTTTAATAGGTACATGTTGTGAAAGATGAAAGCCGTGGTGCAACACTTGAGGTTGTAGTCAGTCGGATGAAGACTATACAGTCTTCTCTTTCACGTATCTCAGAGAATCCTGACATGCTTACTCCCATGAGATTTGTGGCTGTTTCTGCAACAATCCCAAATGCTGAGGATGTAAGAGTTATAGTTTTAATTACTTTTTTAAAAATATGTATTTGTTTCTTTGAGATCAGTTGTAAAAGCAGTAGTTCTTTAGACTATTCACTTCATTTGAGAATCCTGAGGAACTTCATTTGAGAAACTTAAATAAAGAAAAGTGAGTAAAGCTGTAAAATCAGCTTGACATGAATTTTAAAGTAAAGTTGTCATTTCTGGGCTGTCAGCTGAATGCTGCTGTCTTGATGAACGCAGATACAACTTTTGGCCCCAAGAATATGGAAATATCAACCAAAAATTGATCAAGTACTGAAGTTTTATATTTTTAATTAAAATTTTAAGGATGCTAACACAAGTCACACAAGCCTGGGGACAGATTTTGACTTCAATAGTACCAGTGTAATTTGGAACAGAATTTGGTCTGCTCATTAGTGAAGAAATTATTTTCAAGTGAATTCATTAGTTTAGACACGACAAAAAGGACTTAACATGTAAACTCTCTTTGTCAATGTCATAGGGCATATGGGGCAGTAAAAATAGTTGCTTCCCAGTTCTTTATTCTGTATGTGCTGTAGTTTGAAGAGAGCATGTATAATAACAGAGGCATTATTTTCAAGCATCATTTTAACTTGCTTCCTTGTTCTTTAAAGATTGCAGAATGGCTTTCAGATGGTATGAGACCTGCTGTATGTCTGAAAATAGATGAAAGTCATCGACCTGTGAAGCTTCGCAAAATAGTTCTTGGATTTCCCTGCAGTAGCAACCAAACAGAATTCAAATTTGACTTAACTCTTAACTACAAAATAGCTAGTGTTATACAAACATACTCTGAACAAAAACCAACCCTTGTGGTATAATACGTTTTTCTCTTAATGCTTTTGAAATTCTTGGTTTTCTTCTTAGTACAATTAATACAAAAAAGGTATTTTCTTACTTATAGTTTTGTGCCACAAGAAAAGGAGTACAGCAGGCTGCTTCAGTTCTTGCAAAAGATGCTAAATTTATTATGACTGTGGAACAGAAACAAAGGTATATTTATATTTCTTGTAGTTTCTAACCATAGAAATGTAGGGCTGGAAGGGAATTCGATAAGTCATCTAGTCCAGTCCTTACACTGTGGCAGGGCTAACTATTATCTAGACCATCCCTGATAGGTGTTTGTCTAACCTGTTCCTAAAAACCTCCAGAAACAAAGATTCCATGCCCTCCCTAGATAATTTAGTTCAGTGCTAAACTACACTTATAGTTTAGCAAGTTTTTCCTAATGTCTGTCTTAAATCTTCCTTGCTGCAATTTACGCCCATTATTTATTTTCCTGTCCTCTGTGGATATAGAGAACAATATATCACCGCCTTCTTCATAATAACCTTTTACATACATGAAGACTATTAGGACCTTAGTCAGTCTTCTCCAGACTAAACAAACCCATTTTTTTCAATTTGTCCTCATAGGTCATGTTTTCTATATCTTTAATAATTTTTGTTGCTTTACTCTGGACTTTCTCCAATTTGTCCACACCTTTCCTGAAGTATGGTGCCCAGAAATGGACAGAGGACTCCAGCTGAGGCCTTATCAGAGCTGAGTAGAGTGGAAAAATTACTTCTTGTCTTGCTTACACTACTCCTGATAGTACATCTGTAACAAAGTGTTTGGCAGCAGCAGCTGTACCACAATTCTGATTGCTGGATCTCCAATTATATCACCCTGGAGTAAACCTGAGGGCCAAATATTTGCCTAATTGATAAACTGGGATGGGCTGAGGAGAGCCCCAAAGGCTAATTATCTTAGCCCAGTAGGTAGAAAAGGTACAGGCAGGAAATGCTCAGAGAAGAAGAAAGAGACTGGTAGGCTTTTGAGAGCCAGAGCCAGAAGAGATCTCTCAAGGGGCATATATCTTCTGTCTCCCCTCCTTGGCTCAGTGAGTTAAGGGCTGTATGCTTGTAAATATAGAGCTGCACACATTTGTAAAGGTGATAGGGAGAACACTAAATAAATTGCACAAGTTGTTTGAACAGAATGTCTCTGAGTAGTTTGCATCTACAGAAAAGAAAGGAGCAGGATGCTACCCTATCATAACATCCCAGAATGATGTTTGCTCATTTTTTGCAACAGTATTACATTGTTGACTCATATTTACTTGGTGATCCATTATAGCCGACAGATCTTTTTCTGCAGTACTCCTTCCTAGGCAGTCATTTCCCATTTTGTATTTGTGCAACTGATTATTCCTTTCTAAGTGGAGTACTTTGCATTTGTCTTTATTGAATTTCATCCTATTTATTTCAGACTTTTTCTCCAGTTTGTCAAGATTATTTTGAATTCTAGTCCTGTTCTCCAAAGCACTTGCAACCCCTCCCAGCTTGGTATCATCCACAGACTTTGTAAGTGGACTGTCTATGCCATTCTCCAATCCATTTATGAAGATACTGAATAGAACGGGACTCCAGACAGATCCCTTTAGGACCCCACTCTATATGCTCTTCCAGACTTGACTGTGAACGATTGATAACTACTCTGAGTACAGTTTTCCAACCAGTTGTGCAGGTTGGAAGTAGTAGGTTCATCTAGGCTATAGTTTCCTAGTTTGCTTATGAGAAGATCATGTGAGATAGAATCAAAAGCCTTACTAAAGTCAAGGTATATCATATGTTCTGCTTTCCCCCCTTCCACAAGGCTTGTTGCCCTATTAAAGGATATTCATAGAATAGAATCATAGAATATCAGAGTTGGAAGGGACCTCAAGAGGTCATCTAGTCCAACCCCCTGCTCAAAGCAGGACCAATTCCCAGCTAAATCATCCCAGCCAGGGCTTTGTCAAGCCGGGCCTTAAAAACCTCCAAGGAAGGAGACTCCACCAC